GTTTCCTTTGCTTCGCATTACCTCTAAATTGCATTGGAATGCTCTCAATAAGATATACTTATTTTACAGTAAGAGATGCTAAGAATGAAAATATTATTTCAATTAATATTATTGAATTGAATAATGTTAGTTTGATAATATAAAATTTAAATTATTTTAAAAAAAATTTAAAGGAAGGAAGGCTAAATTTCTACATTCAATTAAGTACAATTGAATCAATTTTCTTTCTTTTTGCTTTCATTATAATTAATTTATTAACCATTTTTGCTTACAAAAAGAAAATAAAAAATATAATTGAATCTGTTAAAGTTGCTGGAACTAAAAATTCTGACGAGAAAATTGAACGAAAATTGTTGCTTATTGCTTTGATATCTTCATTTGGCCAAATGCTTATGGCAACAGCTGTGGTAAATTTAATTTTACTATATGTAGTTGCCAATTCTTTTAGTTAAACCGGATCATTCAATACTAGGTCTATCGGTCTCAAAACTTTCGACCCTGAGAATTGATCAGTCTAACAAATTTTGTTTTCTAAACCCTAAGACTTTGGTGAAACCGCTAACTCTTGGCGAGGACCGTGTAGACTCCGAGACCGAGTTTTAAAAGCTCGGCCTCGGTGAGGTCTCACTCAACCTTGACCAACTTATGAAAAAAAAACTTTAAACAATATAAAGATATACTCATTTTATTAACATTTTAAATCAGATTATGTTATATGTTCTCAATAAATCATCACGTGTACTTCTTAACTATATCTATTCAATTGTTATGGATATCGGAATCATTATATTGCCCAGTTGGCCATTACTTTGTTGCAGTCAATCATTTAGAATTAAATTTCTAAGAACAATACTTCCAAAGAAACTTTATAAAAAAATTATTGGATCATTGAAACAACCTTCAAAAATAATACTGAGTGCGCAAAAAACAATTAAGGTTTTACCAGCAAATCCAGCAAATATATTAAAATAAAACTTAAATTTTGCTGCTAAATGAATGTTGAGCAAAAATAAATTAATATTTTGTTGAAGTGAATATGCTATTTTATAGACATTTAATGCTTTATAATTTAGTATTAATTTTGACATTAACTATTTTAATTGTTTAGAAAATTTTAAATTTTATTTTACAAATGCATAAGTCTATCTTTTTTTTTCTGTAACTGTATATGATCCGGATAGGAGGAATTGTACAGGTTTTTTGAATCCTGATCCAAATTTTAGGAGATTTCAGAGCCGGGATAGGGATTTGCATATGCTAGTCTAATTCTAATAATTTCTAACCCTTAAAAGTCTAAGCAACTAATACTTTTACACATGTATATCTCACATTTAAGGGATCTAATAAACACTTTTTATAGTGTTTATTAGTGTTTATACTTTCCCGTGTTTTATACTTTTTATGTATATACGTGTTTTATACTTTCCCAATACTATCTAATTTTTCTATAAAGCTGGAATGAAAAAATGACGAGTAAACTGGAAATTTTTTCAGAAATGATAAATATTTTGGCAAATATTGAAGAGTCCTCAAAACATTTTTTAATGAGTCATACATATTTTTATTCTAGTTTAAAAATTTTGAAAAGCAATTTGTAAACTTTCTTTTTGTTCTTTCTAAGATTACAAAACGAATTTATTTTCACTAATTGAATGGAAAAATTGAAAGAAAAATAAATTAAAAGGAATGATTATTTTATTTTTTTTAATTTTATAATAACAACTTTTTGATCCTTATAAAATGTAATGAAATTTTCTATTTTTTTCAGTCAAAAAAAGTTTCTAGTTATATTGATTCTATTATTCTTCCTCTGTTCTGCTTGGAACAAGTTCAATTTAAAAAATTTTTTTAGTATTACTTTCGTTACTAATGATGAAAATCCATTCACAAGTCAAAGCTCTACAGCGAGAGTGAGGTGTGGGTTCGAGGTTCCTTTTGAATTGGGATGGATCGATGCCAAAGGGGTTTTGGGTTGAGCGATTAATTGGTGAGGCCGATCCACAGTCTGGTCAGGCCTGGGGGTTAAATGGGATTTGTTTGTGTATATTTTATCCTTTGACTTTCTTCCTTCACACCTCTTTGAGTAAACATTTTCGGTGATCCCAAAATAAGTTAATGAGAATTAAGCAAAATTAGTTTTAATCAGAATAGATTAGATAAAATTCCAAAAATTAAAATCATTCGATAGATTATAAATAAATCATTCTACTGTTATTTTAGTTTAAAAATATTTGAATTTCACTTTAGAATTATGATGACCTTAAACTCCATTATCATCGTTATATTTATTGCTTCATTTGTTATATTTTCACAGCAAAATGAAATAAAACCGGCTGATCAACCATCGAAAGATGTTGAAAAAACTTTTACAAAAATTGGACTGGAAGGTGGTTATTTGGGGTCTGACATTCCTTATGGTTTAGCATCTAGCTCGGCTTGATTTGCTGTAAAAACATTTTAAAAATTGGTTTGATGTTTGAGATAAGGTAGAGGCAATAATAACCCTAAAGGACGAAGATAAACATTCTCCATGGGGTTGTTGATAACTCCATGGGGTTTTGATATGCCTTTAGTTCGGACTGATAAATTTACTTTTCAAAAATTATTACCTATGTAAATAAAAAAATTTTTTTTTAATTTTCAGTCCCTCAACCAAATCAAAGTGGCAACTTTCAATATCCTCCGCCTGTGCCATTCGGCCAACGTGGTTATGTACCAGATCCTCGTTTAGGCTATGGACCACAAACTACGGATACAATCCAAATTTATATAGACAGTCTCAGCCTGGACCTGTTTTAGGGCCTAATCCGCCTTATAATGGATATGATTTATATAATAGAGCAAATATTTATCAACGACCACAACAATACTATCCTGGGCATCCGATTTATGGGCCATACCCTAAGCAAAACACAGGTAAAATAATATACATACTTCTTGAATAAAAATTATCAATTTAGGGGAACAAGGCTCACAAATTGTTTAAGATACGGAACATAATCAGAATGTGGAAATAATTCAAATTATTGATAAAAAATTGTTTAACAATTTAAAATACAAAAATAATAAAATACAAATTTTTAACACCCTTTTGGTTATTTAATATTCTGTTAGAAATAAACAGGACTAGATTTTTAGCCTATAAAATCCTTAGCATCTTCGATGCAAAAAAGGAAAAATATGTCTAGGATTTTCTCTTCTCAGATTAAGTAGCAAAACACATGAATAGATCCTAAAGCTGTCAACATATATTATTTCATTCTTTTTACTCCGTTACACAATTTACATTGGAAAAATTCCGTCATATGTCCCGGAAACCGATTCGAACAAACGGTATGTCATTCGAAAGAGCTCGCTGAACTGAGCCGAACAATACAAAAATCAGCTTCGAGACTCAACCTTAGGGCGAGATATATAGGGATAAATCTGATTCTTTGGATCTAAACGAGAATCAGAGTTGTGTGTTAATAACCGGTTAATTGCCGATTACCGCCAACCGTAGTCAAGATTATTTAAAAAAATTTTATTATATTACTATATTTTAATTTTTATTTATAAATTTTTATTAAATCGATTAATATTTTTTAAATTCGTAGTTTGTTAATTTTAATATTTTTTGTAGTTTGTAATTTGCCATTTATAAAGGGCCATTTATAAAGGGCATTTATTTCAAAAGTGCATAGGGTACATTTTAGTTCAAAAGTTGATTATTTATTTAATTTTTTATCAATTTTTTAAAAAATCATACATATAAATGCCTTATGAAATTAACGACTGTCAGTGTAGTAGCGCCTTCGCTTTGTCTTAAATTAACGAGGTAATATTATAAATGAGAGGGTAATTTTTAAGAGGGGTAAAGAGAATTTCTTAATGGCGTTTAAATGGGTGTATGGGGGACTTTAAGGGAGGTAAGTCGGATTTTCTAAAGAGATTTCACTCATGGCTATAATTTAAATTCTCTATTTCTTAATTTTTTAATAAGGGAAACAAGGCGTTTGTACCCGCAATGCGTTTTCAACAAACCACGCCTTAGCCAGAACTTGTTTTTAAACTCGACGAAAATGGCTAGAGGCATTTATTTCGGGCATTTTTTAGATTTTTAAATTGTTTTAATAAATAATTAACCTAAAACTTTAATAAGATAAGCATGCAATCTAAATATTTTTTAGTTGAAATGTTAATTTTGATATTTCTTCTTATTTTTGACAATCTTCAAGAAGGTAATATTTTAAAATAAGGGAATAACGTCTTTAATTAATAAAAATTCAAAAAAAAATTTTTCCTTTAATTATTGTTTCTAGGTTTTTCCGAGACGGAAGTCAACGGAATTCATGTTTTGAAAATGGCAAAATGCTACATGGATGCATTTTACCAAAAGCCGCCTTCAATTCCTCGTAAATTAAAAATATAAAAAGGAAATATGTAGTAGATATACTTTAAATTTAGGCAATGATATTGTTGCAATGGAAGAAACTTTAAATCCACATTTGGCTTTTTCCGAAGGGATCAATGACTGCTTGAAGCGCATCAAAGATATTGTAACTCTTATAATCATAAATCGTGCGGTGCCATACCTTGTGAAGGGTGAATCTAATTTAGGAAGAACCTCTGGGGTTATTGAAGAGATATCCTTTTATTTTTTAAAACGTAAAATAAAAAGAATTTCTTTCGAACCTCGTTAAATTATTATTGCAAAAGTTAGAAATTCAATGTGTATAACTCAACGAAAAAATTTTCCGAAAATTAAAAATTGGTAACGTTATAGTAAATTTAATGTGCTTTCAGAAAAGAAAAAAATAAAAATTTAATGCAGCCTACAAGGGGTCAAAAATATTTTTATAAAACATTTACCACGGTTTCCATTGATTTTAGGAGTTTTGAGATCTCGATGATGGCGTGATATTATTATAGAGCTTCGTTTTTTTATATTTTCTATTGATATCAATAGATATGTTTATAGGAATATTTGCGGATTTTTCGGATTAACTCTAATGCCGCAAATGCCTGTATTCTTTTGTGGAGCTGTGGAATTCTCCGTCCACTTTAAAGTTAACTTATTGCAAATTTCTTTAAAATTAAAGCATAATCTGCAAAAAAGTTTGTTTGGGAACTCAGGTCTAGAAGAATGGCGTCAAACTAAAATTCACGAATTGAAAGAGGAATATAGCACAAACATTCTGAAATATGCTCCTCTTCCAAACAAAGAAACCACGTTGAGAGAATGGCTTAAAAACCTGAACTTTGAGGAGAAGAAAAAAATATTTCGGACCTGGCAAAATCATAATTCTGAAAAATTGGAAGAGGCGTTTTTAAAGGAATTCGATAAAGAGTTTAAAAAATGGCGGGATAATGCCTTTTACAAGTCTTTGGGAAAAACCAACGAACTCAAAAGAATGTTAATTTCAAAATATACAAAAATTGGTAAAACTCATAACGATTTGTTGGATAAAATTAAAAAAGAGAAGGAAAATGATAAAAAGGAGAACTTGATAAAATCACTTTATGTTAACCTAAATATTAAGGAGTTCAAAAAATGGCGTGAACTAACGACAACCAACATTGAAAAAATTCTAGATATTTTCATTAAAGATATTGACTATAAATATGATAAGTGGCGCACTAAACTCGGCCCTTTTTCTTTGCCGTTAAGGTCCGCTTATCTGACAGTCGCTAAGGATTTGATTCAAAAATTGGTTAATGAGGTATTTTTATATTATTTATTTCTCATATTATTTGAAATAATCATTTTATTTCGGTTCAAATTTTAATTAGAAATGAGAAAAATCCCAATATTTTGTCCATATCCGGCATGAAATTATTTTTAAGATATCAAATGAGGCATTGAAAACAATTTTGAATGGAATGTTACAACGAATCGAAATAGAAATACAAACAAACATTCCGATTATAATGTATTCATTTTTAAGTAAATACTTTGATCATGATAGCTTTAACAAAATGACTAAGAAATTAGAAGCTGAACTGGAACAAGTTAAAGTCAAAGCGGAATTTGGTAATTCTTTCGCCATTTTATTTTTTTTATCCAAAAATTATTAATGATTTATCTGACTTTAAATATTTAAAAAATTTTTAGACTATCTAACATGTAACGTCCAGGCTAATCGAAATAAAATTTTGGCAGTCCACTAACAATAAGAACTAAATAAAATATTTTATGCTTCGTTTCTGAGCAAACCTTAACAAATATAGAATGAAACTCAAAAAGGCGTTAGCAAGTCTTGCCTAAAAAATCTTCGGAAGATTTGGAGATTTCGAGAATTGGGAATATCGACTCAAAAATTTTTGGGAATTCCCGATTTTCGCTAAACGATTCGGCTAGCCCCAGTTACTGTTAACATATGAATTAAATATAAATTTTATTCAGGGGATGATTATCAAAATGATATTCCAAAGTTTCCACCAGTTAAGAGAGTTATCTGGTTCGTCCGCCATGGAGAAAGGCTTGATAATGATAAAAATGAAAAAAAGAAAGCTCGCGAAAGTACAGAACAATGCTATTATAGTGAAGATTGTAATAGAAAATTTAAACTTGACAATTCCCCTTTGAACAAGATAGGGGAAAAAAGAGCCAAAATATTGAACAAAGTGTAAGATTTATTTTCTGCTTTGTTTAAAGAAACTTACGGACGAATTTTAGGAGACAGATTATGTATCGAAGGTATAAGGATATTTATATTCGGACATAACTATAAGATTTTTCGACTGGAAAATTATAATTTGAGAAGTATTCAAATCTTAGATACCTCTCAATTGAGAGTATTCGATTCCAATTCTTATCCAACAATTATTTAAACGATCATAAACTGAGAATTAATTTAAATTTTAGCTTCGACAATATTAACATTCAACACATTTTTGCTTCTCCGTATGAACGAACATTGCAAACAGCTTTACTTCTTTTAGGGGAAAGCCATAAAAATTTTGATTCTAAAGGGAATTTGGAGACTGAATTGAAGGTAAAGGTAGAACCAGGATTTATAGAGAATATGATTGATTGCGTTAACAAACCTATTGGTTATGAGGATATTATTGAATTGGCAAAACATCATTCTCGCTTAGATATTGAATATGTTCCTATTTTAAATAGAGAGAAATTGGCACAAGATTACAAAGAGGTGTATTATATTAGCATAATAATCAGTATGGATAGGATTTATGTGAATTTCAATTTTTGATTGCCTCTCAGGGTTCTAAAATTAAAAGAGCGATTTTAGTACAAGTGGGGGTTTATTAAATTATCAATGTCAATTGAAAACCGTAAATGAATTTTTTCAAATGTTCGAACGGGACAGTCTCAATTGGTTAATCCTAAGTCCGGCTAATGCCATTTCTCGCTTAAAACCCGTATTCCGGGACGGGTCCTGAAAATTCAGTACGCGGACCTGCCCGTGCCGCACTCTACTATCCATCCCATTTTCCAAACACTTAGATTGATAGTTGATATAAATCCTAATTTTAGTAATTATATAAATTTTTATTAATAAAGGAGGAAAGCCTCGAATCCGATATAGGTTGCGTCAATCGCGTTGAACATGTGTTAAATCAACTACTCTATAATGATGAAAAGCAATGCTTAAAAAGTCCATTCTTCAACAAAAGTTTGGTGAACAAAATTAAAAAGGGCAACTATTATAGTGAATGGATACAACCGGAAGAGGAAACCGCTGGTATGATAAAGTTACTACAAAATAGTAAATAAATTTAACTTGAAAAAAAGTAAAAGAATTTGCTATATTATTTTTTATTTATGGCATACTTAATAAATGTCTTGGTGAGGGTACGTTTTTTACGTGCATTATGATAGTGAATTTTTAGCCAGAACAATAAAATTTTGTAAAAAAATTCAAAGAGGGCTTAATCACAGAAATTCTTTCCAAAAATATTGATTCTACAAAAAATGACAATTACCTTCAAAAATATTTGATAAAAAATTGAAAAGTTTGTAGGAGTTGATCAAAGGTCTCCCTGATCTCCGTTTAGAATGACTGAAACTGTTTTATTCTAAACCAGTTACCTTTTTATCATTTAATATTTAAATATTTTCTTAGAACAAATCGTAATAGTTACGCATGGAATGTTGCTTAACGCCGTTCATAATCACATAGCAGGGGTGTTTACATATGCTCCTCAGGTCTGTTAATATACCTACAATATTAAACTCATAATATTATTTTAGACTTCGATCGTTAAAATTGTTGAATTGGATCCATCAAGGTAATGATATAGTTATCTTATCCTTTTATTAGGATCATATTAGAGTTTCACCGGAAGTTCCGGTTCCGGTTCCGGTTCCGGAAAGTTCCGGTGTTTTTTTGGTTCCGGTTCCGGTTCCGGGAACCGGAACTCAAATTGGTTCCGGTTCCGGCTCCGGTTTACAAATCGGTTCCGGGCAAACCGGAACTTTTTTACACCCCTAAGGATGAGTTTTTTTAAGAAATATGGATTGGCTTTCCCCGAATGGCCTTCCAAAATTCTCAAAATTTTCGCCTGCGACGCAAGAAAATGAAGAAATCTAGCTACTTGGTCACACAAATTCTCAAAATTTTCGTCTGCGGCGCTTAAAAAGGAAGAAATTTGTATCCTTGGTTCACCTAAAATCCCAAAATTTTCGCCTGCGGCGCTATGAAGAGAAGTTGTATGGTAAATCGAAGGATTTGGATGGATGAAGGTGGATTTTGAGTTACATTATGTGAGTTCAAGGGGTTATAAGTAATATAGAGGGATTTGGGTGTGATGTCCAGGGAATGAGCTGTGCAAGTTAGATATCAGGGATTGAATAGCTGGGGATTTGGTCTTCCAAAACTTGGATTTTTTTTCGTTTCGATTAACAGAAGAATTTGGCAGAATTTAATCGAAAAATTTGGCGAAACCGCACCCCTACTTAAAATAAAAAATTTTTGAAATGTGCTAGCAAAAATTTTTTTAAAAGTTCCGGTTCCGGTTCCGGTTCCGGGCCGGAACTTTGAAAAGTTCCGGTTCCGGTTCCGGGAACCGGAACTTAAATTGGATCCGGTTCCGGTTCCGGTCAAAATTTCGGTTCCGGTGAAACACTAATCCATATATTATATTTTAAAAAATATTTTTTAGTGAGTATGCAAGTGGTCAACAAGGAACCTCCAGTTCTTCAATCGGAAACGACTATTTTAAGAACCTGCGATTATTTTATTTTGGTGCTGTTACACCGTTATTAAAAGAAGGAGAGAAATTGGATGATTTGTTTAATCATTGAGAAGCACCCGTGCTGGAACAGCAAACGATTGAGTGTCACTGTATAAAGCTAACCTTATTTAAAAATCCTTTAGTCTATTGAGCTCTTTCGATTCATAAATTTTATCCAAAAAATTCAAATATTGAGCTTAGAATGAAAATAGAAACTCTAAAACATCGAAAGAGCTTATTTAGTGTTATTAAATTATTTTTTTATCTAAAACCAGGACAAGAAATTTTGCAAAAATAGGGATGAAGCAATGGGGAAATCGCGTTTCGCATCTTTCGCTTTTTTTTTTTCATTACGCCCAACCCTGCTAGATAAGTCTTGATAGGGACAAGTTATCTAACTAAGTATTTACCCTGACAAAAAATCTGAGAAAATTCAATCATATTTGTCGATAATATGAGGAAATAAAAAAACTAAGCCCATATCTCATTTCAATGTCGAATCTTCCTAAAATTTAACCTATGACATTGAATCCTATCCTTAAGTGTAACTATAAAAATCGTGAAAATGGATCAGGAGTAAGTAAAAAACATATAAAATTTTTTCTTGCACTAGAAATTTTCTATTTATTTAGAAAATGTTTACAGTAAGAAAATTTTTTTTCATTTTTTTGAGCTCCAGTAAAATTTCTGTTCTATCGGTCACCAACCCGAGTAAAAACAACATTATTCTTTTAAAGCATGAAATTATTCTTATTTTAAATTTATTTTTTAACTTTTATTTTAAACACATTTTATATTTAAAACAGTAGTTTAGTATAAATCTTAAAAAAAGATTTTTTTAAATAGTAAATTCCTTTCTATTATTTATTTCTCTTGGTACCTTTGACTTTATGAAAGGAATGCTCGGATCATATTTTTCTTTACTTCCTGAGACCATCTCGTATTGGTCAATTTTGCTTACTATTTAATGTTGAGGAGGATTTTGAGTAATATCGTTTAATTTCAAGGGGTCATATGTAGGTAATAAAAAAAGACGGAGCCGGAAATTGGATCCGTCTCCGTCCGAACGTTGAAATACTATTTCAATAGATATTGTAGAAATTTATATTTTTCATTGGACTCATAAACTTTTGATTGGACTCGTAAAATGTCATTGGCCTCATAAATTAGACCAGAGCCATTTTTTGTTGCCAAAATCGTCTTTAAATTTTTCAGTTTACTCTGATTAATCTTATCTCAAATTTCAAAAAAATTTTCGGATACAAGATGGTCCATGGTCACGCACAAATATTTTTATGTTGCTCCCAGGCTGTTTCGCCTTAACTTCCACCCAACTAATTTTTTATTCACTTCTTGTGCTTTGTGTTTAAAAATTTTTCTATTTGCGGTTATCAATCAAAAATTCCGCGCAAATATTCACGAATTTGCTATTTAATTAATCAAAAACAAAAATTTTTTCCCCAATTTACTTTAAACAATTTTCTCGTAATTATCGCAAAAAACGAATTTGGCTGTTTCGCCCAATTTTTAACATAAATTTTTACACAATGCAAAAATCCCTCGCAAATAAAACGCCCAAAAACGCCCT